ATAGGATTAGTGAATGGGGAATTATTTGTTTAAAGACCCTTTTTGTATAAGAAAAAAAAGTAAAATCTAGATCCATCCAAAAGATTTCCTAAAAACAAAAAAATCAAAATAAACAAAATTTTAAAAGGTTTGATTATATTTATTATAGTTGAAAACTTACGTGAGATAACTTTAATTGTAATATGTTTATCAATCAATATGTATTGAATATGAAATGATTTGTGAGCCAAAAAAATAAATACGTGTTATCTTAAAACCAATTGTGGGATAACAGGTATCATAAAAAAAAAAAAAAAAAAGAGGAGGGATTGATTTTGAAATTAAAGAAATCCATGGACTTGCCCTCTTGCATTGCTGTATAAGTTTCCAAAAAAGAAGACTGTGGACTGATGGAAGTGTTGCTTTTCATTGGAACAAACGTGTTTTTTGTCCGTTGCATTAGGTGCTTCCATGTGTGAGCGTAGACCACTGGCTTCCGATAAGGTTAAGGTTAGCTTTACGTAAGTATGTTTAATATTTGTAATTTAGACAGAGACTTGATTAGCCATATTTTGCTTGCATTTGATTTATGTTAAGGTTCATGCACTCATTATATCCTCATCGCTGGTGAATGAACATAAAAATTTGGACTGAACTAATGGAAAATACAAACAATATATATATTAATGTTTATATGTCTTATCTTTAAAAAATTAATAGAAAAATTATTTTAAAAAAAAGTAATCTTAAAATATATGAAATATGCATTAAAAATACACTAATTATAAATTCTAAAAATAATAACTTATATAATCTAATAATAGAATTATCGTACTTCCAACCTTTCCAATTGGTTAGAAATGTGGGGAACCAATTTTCTTCTAATGAGGCTATATCTTTTTTGAAAACATAAGTAATTGGACTTTTAACTTGACTAGTCCTTACCTGCAAATTGGTCCACATGCATGTCCCATTGCACATATTGAAAAGTATTCTTTTCATTTTTGTTATGTCAAGTTGAGATGCCTAATCATTTTTGGAAGATGAGAGTGGGTCTAGTTTAGGGACAAAGAAATCCAGCATGAGAGACCTAATTAGGGGTTATGACCTAATTTAAGGATAAAAAAAGTACCTAAAACAAAATTTCTATCTAGGTAAGGACTGGACGGTCATGAACTAGAGGGGTCCTCTTTTTACAAGGGCACTTGAGGTATAGTTATTTAAGCACATGCCATTGTAGTTAAAAAAAAAAAACTTTTATAGGCCACCAAACTGCATCCCCCTAAGAGTCTAACACCATTCTTAATCATTTTCTATGGCTGAAGTGATTTAGAAGAGTAATAAATGAAGAAATTAAATTACTTTTAAATAATAATAATAATAATAAAATGCTGAAACTGGTAAGCCAAAAGTCCCAACATATAAAATGGTGGGGAATTAGTGTTTTTACAAGAAAACACTGAAAAGATTGTGGTCCCTATTTTCTGTCACCATCTTGCATCAATAATACATCAACAGAAATGTGAACAGATTGGGAAGATTAGAAGAAGAAGAAGAAGAAGAAGAGTCGAGAAAGATTGAATTCATGAAAAGGGTGTGGGTTGAAAGTGACAAATTAAGAAGAATTTAGTGGATAAAAGTAGGCCAATGAACACTTAGGAGTAATAATTTAATCCTAGGATTAGGTACTAAGATAGGATTAGTGAATGGGGAATTATTTGTTTAAAGACCCTTTTTGTATAAGAAAAAAAAGTAAAATCTAGATCCATCCAAAAGATTTCCTAAAAAAAAAA